ACTAACGGTGGAAAAAATATTTTCTGCTAAAAACAATAAATTCAGTTAGATTTTTCTTAAAACAAGAAATTTCATTTCATATGTACTTGATATATATATATAAGAAAATAGGCATGTTCGTAAATCGTAAATTGCTAGTTCTTCAAATTGATCAGAGTTGAAAATGAGTTATTTTGATTTGACAAAAAAAAAAATTTATTTATGAAACACATTAAATTAATTTTTTATATTAATTACTTATTGGGAACAAATTCATCTTAAATGAGGAATATGTTAAATGTTAATAATGATAGCGTAACATATAATTTAAAATTTTGGACCACAGCCTTTCACATCAAAAGTAAGTACCATCTTTGATGCATATTGGAAGAGTTAAAGTCATTTTACCAGAAAATATTGCTAGATTCCTTGACAAATGATTTGTTGGCAATGTATGATTGAATGTAGAAACTGATTGATTTTTAAAAAATTCAATGATAAAATGTCATGTGACATTATATTAAGAAATCTCGCAAAATTTTTTTGGCAATGGCAATGTAGCAAGGTTCAAGTTGGAATATATATTTTGTCCAAAATCTTAAAATTGTCAAATTTATGTATGTCTCTACGATGTTCCAAAAATATGGGATGTCTGTCTATGAACCCGCATTTGCCGGACAGGTGACTTATAGTTGAAGGGAACGTGCCATGTGGCGACACTTGATTATTTGACAAACATATTATACTTTTAATCAAAGATTATATAATATTATAAGCTTAATTATTAGAATTATATCTATCATTGAAGATAACTTGCAGTAAAGAACATAGGACTTAAGTTTATGTATTTTGAAGCACGTTTCGTTGTTTGCCAGCCTTGCTCCTTGTTAAACTTGCAACAACGTTATGAGAATTTGATTGTATAGGAGGATTTTATTTAATTTTAAATAATCAAAATTGAACTTTAAAAAATTGAGATGAGATCAATTTAGCTCGATTCCCAAATTTAGTCGTCAAATCGAAGAGCCCGATTTATTTTCTAAGTTGAATCAATCCAACGGCATCCAATTTTTAAACTCTAAAATCCGCAAAAAATAAAATAAAATCCAACTACGCTTGATTTTGCTCTTTTGAAACAACTAATTACTTCTTACTAAAAAAAAAAAGCGAACTGTGATTGTTTCGATTTTAATTTTTTTTTATAGAGAATCAGTTCAATTTTGATCCTTGTAATAAAAATCGAACGATAACAATTTGATTTATAGTGATATTATAACACCATATTAAACTTGTCATGTAAATTCGTCACATGATTCTTGAACCCAATTAAGCTATAAATTGTGCAACCCTACTTGATCCCTTTTGCATCTTTACGTAGTTTGGTATAATGTTTTATATCTGACCATTTTAGGCGTGGATTGCATATTTTTAACGTTAATCATCCTATGCCTACTCCCCCACCCCACCCCCCCCCTCCTTTTCCCTTATATCAAGGAAAGATTATACTTTTGTGAAGAATTTACTCAAACCCACCCATTTTTAAGGTTCTATGTCATCTCAAATTGTTATGTTTAGAGCACATTTGTCAAAGCTTAAAAAGGTCACTTATAAATAAAAAATAATTTTAAAATAAAAAAAATTATAGTTATGTATTCCGAAATGATCAATAAGAATCAACAGTCAACTTCCCAAACTAAAGAGAAGGATAGGGATCGCTAGGTCAGAGTCAAGAAAGCGATCCAAATTCTCCTCAAGTAGGAATTGAACTTACGACCAATAAGTTAATAGTCAATCGCTCTACCATTGAACTATTGAGGAACAACAGACTTAAGGAAGCTGACACTCGTTCTTTGGACCAAACTATGACCGAGAACAAAAATGAGATCAAGGTACGAATTACTTTGAGAAAAGTAATAATTTTACTTAAAATAAGAAACATCTTAATAATCTAAACAATAGAGATAAATAAATAACTACATTTTTAAAAAAAAGTAATTATCTTTAGTGAAGTAAGAATTACTTTTGAGAAAAGTAAAAATTGTTAATTTAAGTCACCATGGATTATTTTCCTAAATATGGTCCCAATTGTCCATTTTAAGATTAAAGATCGTTAATCTCAATGGTCCTCACCAGCTCATCCCAAGTTTGCACCAAACTCGATAATGCCGAGAGCATTGTGAATAAAAATGAAGTAAAAACTCATTCTTGGAATAATATTGAAAATCTTGGTACGTGTTTATAAAATAAATTATAAAGAGACGAATAACGAGCTTCACGAAATGTAAGGATATTAAGTTAGTAATTGTAAATGTATGATTAGAATTAAAATTTGACTTTAATTGAAACTATAAATAACTTATAATGAAACACAAACATAACCTTGATTCCAACCGAACGTCCAATTGCTTCCACTTATATTTTCAACATTTTTTTACCTTCTATGACTACACCCTTCTCTCGACCTCCTTCCCTCTTCTATCACTCATTCCTCCTCGCTTACCCCCACAACGTGTCCTACTCTTGTGCTTATCCTCTCTCATCTCCTTTTTGATTTCGCCAGTTAAGGGATATAATCCCACATCGAATAAAGATGTTGACACAGACCAATTAATAAAGATCTTGGGCTACTCCTCTTAATAAGGTTGACCTTTTAAGATGGACCCCCAAATCTTAATATGGTATCAGAGCCCATTATGCTCCAACGAGCGATTCGATCCCGGTAAGAC